CATGATGTTACTAGAATAACTATCGTACAACCATGATGTTACTAGAATAACTATCGTACAACCATGATGTTATAAAGGTCAAGAATTGGAAGCTCAAATAACAGAATCTCGCACGAGCTACTTTGAAGATTAAATTCTCTCAACTTTACTAGCACTGTTCATAACAGTTAAATCCTTTTACAAACAACTTGGTTCGTTTAGAAAAACCTGGGTAAAAAACTTTAACAACCGGTCTTTCATAAATATCCCATGCAGTATAGGTTTACATGTTATTCCATCAAAACTACCATTGTCTTCCTGACATGCGCTTTCTCTTTGATATTTTTGAAAAAGAAAAAAGGTAGCGAAAACAAAAGCTAAAATAACCTAAGATAGTTTTGTTTATTTGTTAAATTTCATGTGAAATACCATACAATGAGCTTCGAAACAACGATTTTGATATATTTAATTCAACTTATGCGCGCGAAAATAGAAATATACTTTAATTGACTTGCCCTCCGAACATTACTAAGCCTAATGAACTTATCTTGTTGTAGGTATTCCAGATCCTGTCCATAATTGCTCCATCTTCAATGAAACGGATCACAGCTTCCACGTGGAATGTGAAGCGGGATATGATGGTGGACTTCATCAAGAGTTCGTAATGAAAGTTCATGATACGCCTTATCGAAGACTACGAACAGATATGACCTCCCTGTTTCCGATATTTCTCGTCAGTAATCTCCCTTCAGCATCAAGCTTTGTGGTGGTAGTTTACGCTATCAACGCTAGGGGCACAAGCCAAAAACAATATTTTAGGGTTAATACACACGCCAGGCCTGAAACTCAGGCTCACAATGGTAAGATAACCTAAAGTAAACAAGTACGTATTTTGAATACACAAATTTAGACAAAAACAGCAGTGATACCACGAAGTGATCGTTTAAAAAATCACAGAGAGAACTAATTAATACACAAATTTAGACAAAAACAGCAGTGATACCACGAAGTGATCGTTTAAAAAATCACAGAGAGAACTAATTAATACACAAATTTAGACAAAAACAGCAGTGATACCACGAAGTGATCGTTTAAAAAATCACAGAGAGAACTAATTAATACACAAATTTAGACAAAACAGCAGTGATACCACGAAGTGATCGTTTAAAAGATCACAGAGAGAACTAATTAATACACAAATTTAGACAAAAACAGCAGTGATACCAGGAAGTGATCGTTTAAAAGATCACAGAGAGAACTAATTAATACACAAATTTAGACAAAAACAGCAGTGATACCAGGAAGTGATCGTTTAAAAAATCACAGAGAGAACTAGTTATTTAGATGAAATTGTTCTTAATCCAGCGATTCTGTTACGCCTATATCTGCTTTTCGTATCACCTTACGAAAAAGAAAATTCCAAGCGGCTTATTTTTCAGTGTTTAATAGAATTGATTTCATGTCTTCAGACTGAATGAAACACGTGTTTAGGTGACAGCATACCTTATGTTTCCAATGAAACATTTGTTAATACGTGCCTGACGTTAAATCATACCCTATTAAACACGACAGTTCATCACATAGCCACGTAAATTATAGTATATTAACTTTGTGTGAGTATGTAAAATAAATCCTGTATATTGTTTGTAAAGTTATCTATGGTTGTATAATATTAACTTATCTTTTACTGTTTTCTGTTCTTTTTTGTATTTGTTTGTGCATGAATTTAGTTTCGAAAGCCACTCCTCTTTCCTTGTCATTATTGTGCTCGATTAATTATTGTTTGTAAGATCTGTTGTTCATTTGGGTCATTTCATATGTCTCCAACAACTACTCCTTTGACCAGTTTCCTCTCTGGTTTACCACAACAATACAGCAGGATAAATGATGTTCCCTTGCTAGTTTACCACAATAATACAGCAGGATGAATGATGTAATCATGATGGTTTACCACAACAATACAGCAGGATGAATGATGTTCCCTTGCTGGTTTACCACAACAATACAGCAGGATAAATGATGTTTCCTTGCTAGTTTACCACAATAATACAGCAGGATGAATGATGTAATCATGATGGTTTACCACAACAATACAGCAGGATGAATGATGTAATCATGATGGTTTACCACAACAATACAGCAGGATGAATGATGTAATCATGATGGTTTACCACAACAATACAGCAGGATGAATGATGTTCCCTTGTTGGTTTACCACAACAATACAGCAGGATGAATGATGTTCCCTTGCTAGTTGACCACAATAATACAGCAGGGATGAATGATGTAATCATGATGGTTTACCACAATAATACAGCAGGATGAATGATGTTCCCTTGTTGGTTTACCACAACAATACAGCAGGATAAATTATGTTCCCTTGCTAGTTGACCACAATAATACAGCAGGATGAATGATGTAATCATGATGGTTTACCACAACAATACAGCAGGATAAATGATGTTCCCTTGAGGTCAAATTGGTCTTTTATTTTATGGCAAAAAGACGTTTAAGGATTTAGTTTGTGAATTAATTTGGATCACTTGGTATTTCTTTCCCTCTCCTTGCTTAGATCACTTGGTATTTCTTTTCCTCTCTCTGTTTGAGATTAAAATAATAAAAACAAACAAGTTAACTTCAAATGTCCTTAACACCAAACACGGGTCCTCATCAAATCTGGGAATGATCCTGAAAACCAACACGACTTCTAATCAAATCTGGGAAAGATCCTTAACACCAAACACGCCTTATAATCAAATCTGGGAAAGATCCTTAACACCAAACACGCCTTATAATCAAATCTGAGAAATATCTTTAACACGAAACACGACTTCTAATCAAATCTGGGAAAGATCCTTAACACCAAACACAATTTATCATCAAATCTGGGAAAGACCCTTAACGTCAAACACGGGTTCTCATCAAATCTGGGAAAGACCTTTAACGTCAAACACGGGTTCTCATCAAATCTGGGAAAGACCTTTAACGTCAAACACGGGTTCTCATCAAATCTGGGAAAGACCCTTAACGTCAAACACGGGTTCTCATCAAATCTGGGAAAGACCCTTAACACCAAACACGAGTTCTCATCAAATCTCACCACTAGTAAACGATTCATAACACCAGACCCGAGCACTTCATTAGTTTCACATTAGATATTACTTTTTAATATGCGAAGTTTAGAATATGAAAGATTAAAACCTATAGGATATACAATGCTATCTGGAAATGATAAAAACAGGGGTTTTTGGAAGCTGTAAAATCGAATATTTTAATAGTGCATTCTCTTAAGACTGATTAATTAACCCCAACGTAATTTAGAAAAGTCAGAAAATACATAAGTGGTTGCTGAGTTTTTCTTCGTGCGAGTTGGAATTATATATGGTCACGTGATCAGCTTTTGTTTCTGGCTCATTTTTCACAGTCAGATACATGAAAATATAAGATACTGACTTATCCTCACGAGTTAGGATTTAATTACAAGAATTAGAACCAGTAATAAATTCTTCTAGTTACTGGCAGACTGCAAGGTTCATGGTTATATAAAGTCCTTAAGTACGAGATGTTAACGATTTGAATTTCTTTCATTTTGGCAGTAGAGATGTAATATAAATACGGTAATAAACTTTATTCTTTGATCTATATACATATATATATACAGACAGACAAACAAATATATAGATAGATAGATAGACAAATAGATGAATAAATAGATAGGTACAGACAGATGGACATACGTATATATTAATATGTATAAAGTAAAGAGAGAGAGAGAGAGAAGTAAAATGAAGATGGACGAACATTCCAATAGGTAGATGGATAAAGACATAAAGATAGAAAGACAGATTGATAAATAAATATGAGGTATAGATAGATAGACAGATTTATCCGCAATACTTATTATAGTAGTGTTAACTTTTTCTGCAGTGTCTAACCAGTGGAGATTAGCCGTTAGCTCAGTTCTCATTATCTTGGTTTCGGTGGCTGTTGGAGTTATCTCAGTTGCCATAGTAACAGTCCTTGTTGTCAGATACAGAAGAAAAAAAGGTATGTAGAAAAGTTAGCAGCTGGTTCCGACAATGTGCTTAAACCTTCTTGAACTTTATAAACATCGTTTTTGTAATGAGTTATGGACGAAAGAATTATTTCTGACTAATGATTTCTGGTAGCCTCTCTTGGAGTGAGTGCCTGTACATGACATTTGCAGCTTAGATAATTTATAAATTAATAATGTATATCAGTTCTGCGTAAGAAGGAAGCAAAATTTTTCTCATTTTATTCAATGTAATATCTTCTCTTTGACACTTCCTGGACGAACTAACATGAATTCTCACATTACGGACTTATTTTTTATAGATTTAACGACTGGTGGGACCCGCATATTACATTTTATTAAGTAATCTATTGTTTTTACCTGTTACAACACTCGGTGTAAAAAATTGTCCAATATAAAATGGTCATTTTTTCTGTGAAATAACAAATACTTATGGAGCCCTAACAGTAGTTAGTGAGACTAAATACAACATTTTTCTGTATGATTCGCATATCTCTAACCCTAAAAATGAACAAAGACAGATATTCACAAGAGATCTGTTGCATAAATAGTTTTGAAAAATATGCTTGAGAAACAGGCGAGTTAAGTGTGAATTCCAACAATAATCTTAGGGTTAACAATGATACTTGATTTATACAACATTTTCAGGTGCTTAGTACCATGAAAATGAATTAGATAACATGATTTTTATAAAACGAGATTAAGTTATTTATGCCTATAAACTGTCGTTTTTATAATTTCATATTCTAAATAGTTTTGGAATGGGTAATGACATGTATAACTAATTTTTCTCTTTCTTAGGTCGAGACAATCGAAACAAAGAGAACGACTACAAGTAGGTTTTTGTGGTTAAACTTGGAGAAATCATAATTAGGAGCATGAATGTAGAAGACCAATTTTTTATAATATACAAACTTTACTTATAAGATATGGCGCTAATTATTTTTATGTTATGTAAGGCTTAACATATGTTATATAAGGTTTAGCAATAATTATTTTTCTGTCATTTAAGGATTAGAATTAACTATTTTTATGTCGTGTAAGGCTTAACATTAACTATTTTTATGTCGTGTAAGGCTTAGCATTAACTATTTTTATGCCAAGGTACGAAAATCACTCGAACTATTACTTAAACATTTGTTTTTTTAAGTAACTTTTCCATATTAGACTTGAAGTACCTACAGAACTGATTTTAAAAAGCCAGTCCTAGGTGTTACAATATTTTTATCATTGCTTGTTTTTAATCAGTTAAGATATTTACATTAATGTTTACATGCGTAATGCTGGTTATTATAAAAATATGGTACCATCATCCCAATACTTGGCAGGTCTGGTGCGCGGAATAAATCTTACTTTGATTCTTTACTGTTAACATTTCGACATAGAGCTCGCTCGCAATCGTTGTTATGATTGAATATTCCACAAGTCTGTTTGTTTGTTTGTTATTAAGCACTAAGCTATACAATAGGCTATCTGTGCTCTGCTCACCACGGGTATCGAAACCCGGTTTCTAGCGTTGTAAGTCCACAGACATGCCGCTCTGCCACTGGGGGGCATTCCACAAGTCAACCCTGCAGTAACGATAGACAGGAAAAGTTTCGACATAATGCAAATGAAAAGCCGTTTCCTTTAACGTTTTCCAAAAATACCTACTATTTTGAAAAGAACAAAAAACCCAAAATATACTTCTACAGCTGTAGAAATACACTTGAGCTTTTTAAATGGTAAAACTAACAATTCGTTTATGTTGTTTAAGACTAGTTTATTTTTATGTATTTTCAGAGACAAGAGAACCCCAGAAAAATACGACTCTCCAGTGGGACTGAACGTCTTAGCAATGGAAGAAAAATGTCCAGACCTAATACCAGGTGGGTGACTATATCATATTGGCATAAATCTGATAGTTTAGCTTTATATTACAGAATATGACACTAGCTTATAAAAAAACGGTTATAGCTGATAGTGGGATATGTGGAACTGATCCACAACGATCAATTATAGCTGATACTAG